GGCCAGGCTGAAGGGGGTGCACGGCGTGCCGAAGTGGACATACCACACGTCCCGGCGCACGATCAGGGAGCGGATCACGCTGATGACGCGCTTGTCGGACAGGTCGTGCCAGGGCCCCCGCGAGATGTCGACTGGCACCCACGACCGCAGCCCCGCGTCGAGACAGGCGGCAGTGAGGCGGGCGCAGCCGGCGTAGAGCTCGAGCACGTGGCGCACTCGGCGCCGCTCGCGCGGCCGGGCGCCCAGGCGGTGCGGGCCCGCGCCGCTGGCCGGCGCGGCGGCCGGCGCAGGGGGAGGCGCCGGGGCCAGGTCGCGCGGCGCCCCGCGCTGCGTCTGGCCCGGCTCGAGCTCGAAGCGGTCCGCCGCCCGGGAGTCGTGGTCGGTCGGGTTTCGGCTGCTCTCCGAGCACCGATGGTAGTGCTGGATCCCTGTGGCTATCTGCCGCGCGGCAGCCTGGCAGGCCAGCTGCCGGAGCACTGGGTTGGCACAGCGGCCCTTCTCGAAGGCCATCATGGACGAGAGGTTGTCGCCGATGGACAGGACGCGGCAGCCGTGAGCCGCCACGGAGCGGGTGGCCCGCCTGAGGCCCAGCAGCGTCGTCCGGCCCTCGAGAATGTGGATCGGGGCCGCGAAGAGAAAGGCACCGCGGACCACCAGCTGCCACCTGTGCGCGGCGAGGGCGGCGTCGGGCAGCGCCGGGATGCCACCTCTGCAGGCGGCGGCAGCCGGCGCCTCCACGTCGACCCGAGCCGCCCTGCTCCGTCGTGCTGCCAGGCATGGTGACGAACGCCCCGCACGTGGCGGCAAGTCCAACCCAGCGAACACAGCGGCGTCGTCGCCGCCGGCGGTAAAGCCGGCCTGCGTGGCGACCTCGGCCCCTGGCGGATCGCCAGGGTCATCAGCGTGCCGATCGACTGCGACGAACCGCCAGCGCTCACGGTAGGCGCCAAGCTCCCTGAGCTCGCTCTCATCGAAACGCGACGTGGCCAGGGCGTAGCCCCACAGGCTTGCGTCCGAGCAGTAAGCCCACGGGTGCCAAGGTGCCCCGAGGTCCACACCAGCGAGCGGAATGAGGGCCTTGATAAGCCCCAGCTCGCGCAGCTGCTCGGCGTCGAAGTGGCAGTAGTCGCTCGGCGCGTACACGACCCGGTACAAGGAGCTCAGGATAGCGAGGGCCGGCCGCATGAGCATGAAGTGGTGCACGACGTGCCCGAGCACAACCTCCATGGCCGCAGGCGTGCAGCCGCGGCGGTCGATCAGAGCGGTGACCGCCCGATGCAGCCGCCAGGCGCGCTCGCGCTGCGGCACCGCTCGGCCCTCGAAGAAGTCGAACCGAACTCCACAGCAGACGAAGTCCCGCGTGGCGTAGCACACCTCGTGGTAGGCCAGGCCGCGGCGCTCGAACTCGAGCAGGATAGCCTCCAGCGCCGCGTCGACCAGGCGGCGCGGCGAGCCGACGACGTTGGCGTTGTCGACGTAGGAGGCCCCAGCGAGCTCGCCCGCGCCGAGGCGCGCACACGGGGAGCGCTCCGAGACCATCCTGACTTCCTCGGGCGCGATGGACAGCGCCCGACTGATGCCGATGCGGGTGACGTCCTCGGTGATGCCGTTGCAGATGAAGAGCGACCAGCTCCAGCCCATGGCGAGGCCCTGGAAGCACGGGTAGACCACGGTGTCAGGATCGACGCGCACGAAGCGGCGGTGCACCTCGTCGTACACCTGGTCCGTGTCGAAGTTGCGGATTGGCATGGGGTAGTCGAAGCAGAACCAGCTGCCGATCTCGAGCCACTGCATCTGGTAGAAGCCCTGGCGCAGGTCAGCGCTGGCCCCGTGGTAGCCCTGCCCGCCGCGGCCCAGCAAGTCCGCGTCGAGGCAGAGGCTGCTGAGCGCCGCCGCCGAACCGAGCTCGGTCCGAGGCGGGCGGCGATGCAGAGCCGAAGGCTCGCGGCCGTCAATCACCATGCGCAGCGAGCCGTCCTTCTTGCCAACGAAGAAGATGCTGGCGCGGGCACGGCAGCGCGTGCGCACACCGACGAGCCCAATGTGCATGAGCTGCTTGAAGAGGCCCAACCGCAGGGCCGGGTCCCGCCGCAGGTTCGCATCCCAGTAGGGGTATATTGGGGGGAGCTCGCCGGCCTCCACCATGCTGTCGAGGACCGCCTGTGACCGGAAGATGTGCTTCTCCGGCTCGTTGATCAGCGGCAGCAGCCAGGGCGGCACCAGCGAGCGGATCGGCTGCGGCGAGATGCCGCTGTCGAGAACCTTGAGGAGGCGCGGCTCATAAGGCCGAACAGGCGTCGGCCGGCCGCTGTAGACGTCCTTGGACTTCAGGAGAGAACAAAGCGCGTCATCACCGTCCACGCCGATGGGGTCGCCGAAGGCGGCCACTCGCTGATGGACGCGCTGCAATACTGATGCTTGGGCGGCGTTCGCCGGGAGAACCGAGGCGAGGCGCCGCGCAGCCGCCAGCGGAGCGTCCAGGTCGTTCAGAGCCATGATCGCCTGGTTGCACCGCCGCCGCACGCCGGAGGAGAGGTTCAGAGGCAGCACCTCCCTCGGCGTCGATCTGCCCAGCAGCGGCAGAGGAAAGGGGTCGCCGTGAGCGCGACCAGTCAAAAATCGAGGGGCCCCTTCGGCATCAGGTCCCCTCGTGCGCCCGCCAGCGAAGCGGACTGCGGAGGTATCGTTGGCCGAACGGCGCCGGGGCGAACGCCGCCTCTCCGCAGCCCGCGCGACAGGAGTCATCCCTGCGCGGCGGCCGAGGCGTCGCCCCGACCGCCGCGTCCGCCTCCGCCTCCACGGCCGCGCCCGCGGCCCCGGAAGCGCCCCGCGCCGCCGTCCTCGCCGCCAGCGCCGCCGCCAGCGTCGTCGCCCGAGCCCCGCCCGCGGGAGCGAGTGGTCTGCTCCTCGCGCCACTGCCGCTGCTGCTTCAAAGTGAAGGCCTCGTCCTTCTGGATCTGAGCGATGTACTTGGAGTACTCGGGCAAGACGAGGCCGCCGTACTCGTTGACCGTAGAGGCCACCACCGCGTCCAGGTCCTGGAAGTCCGGGCTGCGCGGGTTGCGGGCCACCGCCATCTCGATCTGCACGAAATAACGCACCAAAATCTCGACGCCCGAGAGGCTTGGCAGGTTCAGCATGTCCTGCTGCTGGAAGGCGTGCAGCGCCTCCGTGAGCCTCCGATGCGCGCGCGTGACGTTGCTGTTGGGCGAAATGCCCGACTTGTGGACGAAGTCCAGGTGATGAGACATCCACTCCATGCCAGTCGCGCGGAGCGTCTTCACAAACTCGTGGGTGACCCGGCTGCCGCTCAGCGGGAAGGGCGGCTCGTCGGCAGCGTGCTGCAGGCCGAACGAGTCGGCAAAGGAGATGAAGCGCCGGCCAGAGGTGGACTCGCGGTCGTCGCCTGTCACGCGAGCGTCCCGCCGATTGCCAGACACCAGCGCACGCTCCCAGGCAGCTCGGTCATCGTCGGCCACGAGCTGGCAGAAGGTCCAGCAGTTGTCAATCAAGACGAGGGCGCTCAGATAGTCCTCGTCGCCCGCCACGTCGGGAGTCATGAAGGTCGCACGGTCCGTGAGGATCTGGGCCGGCACCTCGTCGCCGAAGCTGCGGGCGGCGGGGTCGGCAACACGCCACACCCCCCCGCCGCCGGGGGCGGCTGGGCCCGCGGGAGGGGCCTGGCCCAACACGGCCGCCAGGGCGGCCGCCTGCTGCCGGACGCGCGTCAGATCGGCGTCCGGTATGGGGTTGTCGAAGACGTACGACTCCGCCCACTGCGCCGGCGGGTAGGGCTGCCCACGAGCGAGGGCGATCACCCGGTGCACGTTCAGGTCGATCCGCTGGACCGAAAAGTCGGGCGTGCTGCCGATCCAGACCCCCGGCGTGGGCGTCTGGATGATGAGGAGCCTCGCGTGCCACCGCAGCCCGTTCTCGTCGTCCATGAAGTCGATGAGGACTTGCGCCTCCGGAACGTCCGGGACGTTACGAGCCATCCTGCTCCTGCGCTCGCGCCCGCCGCTGGCTGGGCGTCACTGGCCCTGGCGTCGAGGCCTGGCAGGCTGCCGCAGGGACTGGAGCTGCAGGGGCCGCAAGCGCCGGCAGCGGCGCCGGCGGGGCCGGCGGCTCGGCGCGGGCGGTGGGCGGCCTGGCGAAGAGCCGCAGGCGCCCAAGGGCCCACGCGCCCGCGGCCCCGGCCGCGGCGGCGAGCCACACCACCAGCCAGCCCGGCCCGGCGGCAAGCGCGGGCGCCTCGGCGGGCTCGGTGTGGGAGGTGGCCGGCCCACTGCACGTGAGCGTGCAGGTCTGAGCTGGGCAAGCCGGGCACGCAGGGCAGGCCGGCCCGCGCAGCAGCCAGACCTCGGCCAGCCGCGCGCCGAGCCCCACCAGCTCCACGGCCGCGGCCATGCAGGGGCGCGGACGGGGCTCCTGCCGAAAAGACTTGAGCACATACGCGTACGGTCGAGCTCAAGCGAGAGATGAGGCACAATTATCTTCAAAGAAAGTCATATATATATATATATATATATATATATACACACACACCTATGTGTGTGTATATATATATATGTGTGTGTGTGTGTGTGTCTGTGTGTGTATGTATGTGTGTATGTAGATATGTTCGTATGCCTCCCTGGCTAAGGTTATGGATACCGCTCCCTGGTGCTCACTCCCTCCTTCTCCTCCTCCTCCTCCTCCTCCTCCTCCTCCTCCTCCTCCTCCTCCTCCTCCCTCCTCCCTCTCCCCTCCTCCCCCTCCGCCTCGTCCTCCTCCTCGTCCTCGTCCTCCCTCTTCCCTCCATCCATCCATCCTCCTCCTGCTGCTCGGGCCTCCTCCTCGTCGTGCTCGAGCCTCCTCCTCCTCCTAGAGCTCCTCCTCCTCCTCATCCTCCTCCTCCTCCAGGATGCGCCTGGCCCGCGGCGGTGGACATGTCTAGGTTATAGGCCCTAAGCGACGACTCCCAACCGACCGCCGCGGCGGGGCGAGGCTCGTCTGGGCACCTGGGCCCGGTCGACCGCTGGTGTCGCCGCCCGCGCCGCAGCGTGCAGCACGGAGCCCCACGGGGAGCCGATCCCCCGCGCATCAGCCATTGGCGAGGCCAGGCTGCCGCGCGCGGCATGAGCCGCTGGAAAAGCCGCCTCGTCGGAGCAGGGCGAGTTGAGGCAACGGCACCTCACAGAGGGGCCCCCAGGCCCCTCCCGGGGTAGGACCGCACCAGTTTTCTGGGCCGCGTCCAGCCGTGGTGACGCATGGGCCCCCCGAAGGCCAACTGCCGTGGGCTCATCTCGCCCTCCCCTGAGATCCGGCGTTGCGAAACAGACGCAGCGTCGCGAGAGAACACCGCCAGAGAACCCCCAAAGATGATATATAAACACGACCAGAGCCCTATAGAGCCCGTCCTTCTGCTGCATTGCGCGAACGGGGCCGCTTCGTGACGGTCCAGGGGCCCGACGCCCGGCGGAAAAGCCCCGTGTGGACAACAACGTAGCTCCCGGATCTCGGGGACCTGGCCATCGCTCGGACGTCCATTACCTCCGCTTTTTTTCGGTTCCGTGCGTGGCTTTGTCGCCAAATGATCGAGGATGCTCCTCGATGGTCCTCGCCGACGGAAGAATGCGCACGTCCGAGCGATGCCGAGGGACCGTTGCCTCGACTCGCCCTCCGCTGACCTTCACGGGCGGGGGTGCCGCGGCCGTGCAGGCGGCCGCCCTGGCGACCAGCTGGCCGGCGGAGGCTATCCTTGGGCGTTGGCTTGAGGGGGGCGATCGCCGGGGGGGGGGGGGGGGCGAAGACACGTGCACCGTTCGCGCCCCTCGTGGGCTCCCCCAAGGAGGTCCCTTTTGGGGCTCTGGGCCCCTCCAGAGCGCAAGAGGTGCACCTGTCTGCATCCCCCCCCCCCCCCTTTACAGAGAGGCCTCCTAGATGGGGTCCGAGCAGATGGAGTCGAAGGATCACGCCGCATCGCCAATGCATCGGCGATGCATCGGCGATGCGGCGGGGACGTCGGCAATGCAACGGCGAGACCTGGATTACATCCCCATCGACTGCGTCACGCCCGATGTCCGGGCCATGGAGTGAACGCCGGCCGCCTCCCCGCCGCCGTGGGCCGCCCCGGGACCAGGCAGCAGGTGCCGCGCCCTCGAAGCCCTGGCGCTAGCGGGCGCGGTGTTCGCAGAGAGGCCACCTGGGGCACAACGACACTTCGGGGGCGAGCCCAGGAGCAGAGGGCTCCCAGATGGGGTCGGAGCAGACGGGGTCGGAGGATCGCGCCGAATCGCCCATGCATCGGCGATGCATCGGCGACGTCGGCGTGGAGTCGCATCGAGCCGCATCGCCGATGCATCGGGGATGCGGCGGGATCCTCCGACCCCATTCCTCCCACTCATCCTCGCCATCTGGTTCCTGCAAATGGGTCACAACTTAGTCTCTGGCGGCCGTTCGTGACGATCCGGGCGCCCCTGGAACGCTCCTGGCGAGGCACAGCTGCTAGAGAGCATCCCGAGGCTGAAAAACCGCCGAGGACAGACGAAACCGCTCGAAAACCACCGACAATCACCTGAAACCGCCCAGGAAGCGCCGCCTGAGGTTGGCCCGGACCGTGACCACCCTGGGGTGCGTTCTGATCAGAATTTCGAGGCGGGCCCACCGTGGCCACAACGGCGCCCTGGGGCGATCAAACACCAAGCGAACCTCGATCCTCGAACTTCGAACCTCCGAGCCTGTCCCCCTCTGATCCTACCCCCAACAACGCGACAGCACAACGCATACCTACCAAGGACTCCCACTCCCGACCTGGCGATGCAGGGGGTCCTTGCTGGCGGTGAGGGCTGCTTACTGGCCTATAAGACCCCCAACAGTCGCAAAAACACCCCCCAAGCTGGGAGCCCCGGACCACAAGGTCGGGACTGGTGGTGCTGGCTGGGGGTTGGGCGCCGACATGTGACGTGCTGATTTGTTCTGTGCGGGGCCCCCCCCCCCCCGAAGTCCAAACCCTTTCCCCAAGGCCAGTTTTCCATCGCGATCGTCACTTTTTGACGGTCCTGGGGCCCGGCGAGGGCCCACGGAGGCCAGAAACGGCCCAGAGCCTCCCGCCGTGCGTTCTGTTCACCGCGCGAGCACGTCTGGGCTGCACTGGAGTCTCCCTGGCCGCCCATCACGCGCTGCGGCGACAGCGACCGCAGGCGAAGGCCCCCGCCGGCGTCGGCGGCCGCGACGGTGCCCGAGGCACACCGCGACAGCGGGGCGGCCCGCTCCACCGCGGGGCCCTCCGGCGCCCACGGCCGGCGCTGCTCCACGGCCGGCGCGGCTCCGCCGGGCAGCGGGGCCCCCAGCGCCCGCGGCTGCAGCAGGCTGCCGCGCTCCCCGTCGGCGGAGGCGGGCGCCGCGGTGTCCGCAGACAGACCTGGGACGAAGACGGCGCCATGGAAGGATTCGGTCCGGCATGTCCCCCTTCAGGCGGATTTTTGGGCGAAGAACTGAGAATACTCAAGAAATACCTCCCAAATGCTCAAGAGTAGTCCAAAAACCGTTCCCAGCCTATCGTTTTAATACTTTTGGGTGTCCGTCCTGTAGAGGGACAGGCCAGACTTAATGGTAGGATCCCGAACCCTCGCCCTCCTCGGCCTCCTCCGCCTCGCCCTGCGCCTCGCCCCTCTCCTCGCCCTTCTCCCCGCCCTTCTCCTCGGCCTCCTCCTCGCCCTCCTCCTCGCTGGCGGGCCAGAGCGGGCTGCCAGAGCGGCCAGAGCGACGACGCGCGAGTGACAAAGAAGGACGGAGGGTCTTCGGTGGTTTTCGGCCCCTGGGGGCCCACACCGAGCCCCGGGACCATCAAACCACGACCCAGGATGAAACACCGATCCCTGGGAAGGGTCCAGACTAAAGTCGGGCGTGTCCCCCTACAGGGGGATTTTCGACGAAAAATAAAAAATACCAGCAAAAATGCTCCAAAATGGTCACAAACACTCCAAAATGGAGAAAAAAATCATCAGAAAATAGGCCCCCGACTATTTTTGGACTATTGTTGAATATCCCCCTGTAGAGAGAGACGCCCGACTGAAGTCCAGACCACTGAGGATGCACGTTGTGAAAAAAACATGACGTCGAGGGCCTCGGATGAGCTCATGACTTGGCAGGGGCCAAACGCACCCGCAAGACGACGTACCCCCAGTGAGGTGCCGCACCGGCCACGGTTCCAGCCGCGGAGGGTACCACAACGCAGTGCTTGGGCGCCCCGAGGTGGGCCCGGAGCCCCCCCCCCTCTGAGGCACGGTTGGCCTCCCAGGATACGTTCCGGGAAGGAGGCCCTCGCCTCTGGAGCCCGTGCTGGACGGTAGGGTCTCCGGGGGATCCTAGAAATTCTTGGAACACAGCAGTATCGTTAAGTCGGGCGTGTCCCCCTACAGGGGGATTTGCAACGAAGCAAAATGCGGGAAAAAAGGCTCCAAAGTTGTCAAATAGTACTCCAAAATAGTCCCCCGACTATTTTTCGACCATCTTTGAACATCCCCCCTGTAGAGAGGCACAGGCCCGACTTAACAATGTCATGGCTTCCTGCTCCCTCTTGCAGACCGCCCAGCACGCGCTGCAGCGACGGCGACCGCAGGCAGAGGCCGGCGCCGGAGACCGCGAGAGAGCTCGCGGCCGAGAGCTCGCGCGCAGGTGGGCTGGCGGCCGGCGGCGGCGGGCTGGCGGGCTCCACCTGGGGGCCCTCGGGCGCCCAGGAGTGCCCCTGGTCCTGGGGAAGCCAAGAGGGTGCCGATCATTACCGCCACTTCGCAGAACCTCTCCGGGCCGGGAGCGCGTTCTGGCAAGGATTTCGGGGCGAGTCCAGCCGTGGCGACGAGGGACGTGTAGCGGCATCTGTACCTTTCTTGTATTCCGACGTCACGAACCGATCGATCCGTGAGGGACGTGGGGCTCGAAGCCTGGCAGAAACAACCGGTGCGAAAAAAATGCGCGACGCCCAGTTCGGATGGTAGTGATGTCGCGATTGGATTGGGCCAGGATGCGTTGCCTTCTTGGATTTCACGAGCGTCTAGCTGCCCTCGTTTCTGCAGCCCTGTGGAACATCGGGAAATTCTGAGCACCTGGAAATCTTGGAACGTACGGCAGGTCCATGTCGTGCCGACATCGGCGTTGGTTTCGGACACCCCCGGGATCGTTCAACCATGCATCAACCTAGCAAAAATGCTCCAAAATGGTCAAACAAAAATGCTCAAAAAAAGTCCCCATACTATTTTTTACTATTTTTGAATATTCCCCCTGTAGAGGGACAGGCCCGACTTCAACCTTGCACGATCGGCCGTTCCCGAAACGTCAGGTCGTCCAACATCGACCGATTCTGGGTCGCCAGCGGCGCTCGACATGAACCGCCCGCGCTGGGGTCGCCGCCAGTCGACACGACGCGAACCTACGGCATCATTGCCAATCATCATGACATTCAAGCGACCCCGCTTGCAGGGGGGTGAAAAGGCATGTGGGATACTTGGCCGTCCCCCTCCCTCCCCTGGTGCTGAAAATCGTATGAGAGGACCGTGGGGGAGGGGTCGACGAGCTCCCCAGCGCTTCTTCCGGAGCCAGACCGCCCCAGGACGGGCCCATCAGAGCTCGAAAGCAGTTCAAGAGCAAAGAGACGGCCCAGGGCAGCCCCTGGACGGTCCGGTATGGCTCCCATCTGGCCCCCCAGGCGACTAAGGCAGCCCCAAAAAAGGCAAAAGTCCTACACTTCTTCAGGGAAGCGTAGAGTTTTAACAAACTCGTTTCTTTCATCTTCCCGGCGTTCACAACGGCTTAGGGCCCCACAGAAACGCCCCAAGACGGCCCTGAAGGCCCCCCCAACCGCCCCAAGACAGCCCAAGAGGGCTCCAGGACAGCCCACGAGGGCCCTCCGAGCGGCCCACGAGGACCCCAAAAAGGATACAAGAGGTTGCAAAACGACTTCACAATGGTAGCCTTTCCCGCCAAGATGTCCCCAAGAGCTCCCCGAGGGCCTCCAAGGCGC